AGGTCTCTTGCTTCTCATTTGAGAACCATGAATGAAAATATTGAATATTTTAGTTTTATCTTCTCTCTCTAGTTCTCCACCTTCTTTCTCTATGGATTCCATCATTCCTATCCTGGAAGCTCTCTCTCCTACCATTCAACTTTAACAATTTTGGCATGGTTGAACCCTAAATGTGATGTAACCACCACAGGGTGGTTCATAGGTTAGAGATGAATTTCAAGTCTGTATTCTACACGGCACATCTTGAGTTCTATTTTTAATGCTGGTGAATCACATGATGGTGGTTAGAGAAGGCTACAATATCTCTGTGAGTTTGCATGGCCTCTACAAGGGTGTGCCCTAGTTTTCTGTATCCATGTGTGAATGTGGTTGAAATTATGTAAAACTAATTTTAGTAGATTAAAATAACCAATCAACCAATATATATGCATCCCAAAAATAGAGAGAGAGAGAGAGAGAGAGAGAGAGATTCTCACATGTAGATGTAGGCTTGTAGCCTGTGGGTGTGATTCTAGATTCTTCCAACCTATATGATGTGTGTCCATCAATCATTATTATTATTATTATTATTATTATTGTGTAGTATTATTTATTTGATCAGATTAGTAATATTATAGGGAATTGGATTTTATTCGGAGAATGGGGATCTTCATGAGAAGCCCATCTAAGTTGTTTAAATTTAATTCAACGGTTGTAATTATCATAACTTTAGAGAGACCCTCATATTTAGAATTATTGAATCAAATTTTAACGGTCCAAATGAGTTGCTCAGGATCCTGAACTCAGAAAAGGATCCAGTTCCATATTATAGGAGTGAGAGGACCACCAAACCACCAAAACGATCGATTCCACCACCATGCTCTATGGGGCCTTGTTTGCCCAAAAGTTTTTTAAGGGTCATCACTGTCATGTGCTAGTGCTACTACCACACTTTTGCTGATTTTTCCAATGCTCTTCAAGTCTTTATGATTCCATTTATTTGTTGAGCAGGATTTAACAAGATTGAAATTTGAGTGTTCTATGATGGACTCACTTTTTAGTGACAAATTCAAAGCCACAATATGCTTACATTATTGCTAAATTTAAAAATATTCAATATTTATATGTTCATCAAATAACGCCCGGAAAATTAGTTTGATTTAATTGAATTTTTTTTTTTTGAAAGTTTGAAAGAATTTCACACATTATTTTTAGTTTCTCACATAATCCTCTTTATTTATTGTTATCAGATTGAATAATTCAAATCAAATAAACACCCAGGATTAAATAAGGGCATGCAAGAGACTAAAAATGGTGTGATAATCACTTCCCTTTCGCTTAAGCATAAAATTACTTGAGTATCCGTGCAACCAAGAAGAAAATGTAGGATAATATAAATGATTATGATCATAATACCCATGTAACTTCAATCAATTAGATAATACCCAAATGCATCAAACACATATATCAATAAATAAAACAATAAAAAGGTAAAGGTAAAGAATGATCTAGCCTGTGATATCAAGAGAGGCGTGTTGTCATTGTCCTAAAACTGTAGACTCCTCCCTACGTGCCAATTATAACAGCTATCTACAACTCCAAAATACAACCCTTGAATCTCACAGAGTGTCTAATCCATAAGCACGATTACGGTAGACAGGGTGCCAAGTAGTGATCAATTGCCCATTGATGATCAAGATGAGTAGGAAGATAATAAAGATTTTATATGAGTGTTGTAGTTGGGAGAGAAGGAAGACATTTGAATCTATGTTAACGTAATTGTTCTGTTTGAGGAGTTCGCTATTTATAAAACTCTACATACCCCTTAATAAAAGACAGACTTCTCTAATGAATATGACTCTTCACATTTTTTATTTAAAATAATAATAAATAAAGTTTTGAATCTTTAAGAAAATAAAATAAATAACCAACAGAAAATAGATATTTTTGATGGTCAGAATGACTCACGGAGGCATCTCTGTCTCACCCTGGCTATCATTATGTGATTCACCAGCGTCGGGAATCGAATCCAGGACGTGTAATGTGAAATACGTGCATAAAATTTAAGGAAAACTAATGAAAAATGCTTGAAAACTTTGAGTTTTAATGATAAGGACAAAATAAAGGGTAAAGTGAATAGTACCAGGATTGACTTTTTAGTGTAAAAATGTGATTTTTTGTTAAAGTGAACATTACCGGGTGCTTTTCGTTAAAGTGTGTTAATTAGATGAGACTAATGTTGACATCAGCATTGCCCGAAAGATGCCATAAAGAATTTTAGGGCGGAAAATACTTGTCATTTCTCCTTGCAAGCAACTTAGAGTTCAATGTGTACGCAGAAATTTATTTATTTGTAATTTTAATAAGCTACTTTTACATGTGAGTCGCATACATGCAAAAGAGACACTATATGTCCAGATTATTGTATGCGTCTATTATATTACTAGTGATGTCATTCTTTGTCTATTTTTGTTGGAAGAGAATGATTATTTACATCCTCTATCTTAAGCTTTGATTATTAGATTAAAATGATGATGGGTGACTGATTGTGTTAGTTTGTTTTCCCTTCTATTCAAAAGCTAGAAAAGAGAATATTGTGCTAATGCCGTTTGTATGTTTATATTTGGCCTATTCTGAACATCATTTATACTCATAAGCTTAGATAAATTCGGGTAATAGCCACTCAGTACTACATTCTGGTGGTATTCCTCTTCGTTTAGAAGTGAGAGGTCTTATGTTCAAATCTCGTAGATGGCGAATTCGATATCAAATTAGATTGCTCATTGTGTGGCTTAACCGAACTTCCCCTCCCCTTAATGTAAAAATATCGATGTACTAAAAAAAAAAAAAATATCAACTTCATATACCGTCGTTAGGGCCGGCCCTAGAGCAAAAACTAAATTAGGTCCTTGTCACTGTAAAATTTCCATAATACCTAAATGTGTTGCAGCTGCCATTTTCGTTATCTCTGTCATTTTTGTGTCACGTCTCACCTTCACACCCAAAGATGGTTATTTTTCTACCAGGACTAAAAGTTTTATTTGTAGGTACTCTAAATAAGGTAATTCTTTCTGGAGTCCATTCCGCCGGTCGCTCTTTCGTGGCCTACCTCCTGGACCGGCGTTGACCATGGTAGTATTGCATCTTCGGTGCAAATTCTCATTAAAAGAAACACTTTTAAATAGATTATGATCGATTTGCCGTTTAATACTACGGTTTAGTGATATTTCTCTTCACTTGTAAATGAGAGGTCTTAGGTTCAATTCTCACTCAAAACGAATTTGAACCAGGTTATTGCTAGCCAATTGTGAGGCTAAACCCATCTTCTCCCTTTAGTGTAGATAGTATCGCTTGTTTAAAAAAAAAAATTATGATCGATTTATATACCCTAGTAAAGAATGGTAGACTCGTTAACCTAACAACTACAAATATGAACCCAAACACATCATTTTGCAAGAAGTCCCATTTTACAACCTTAAAAGAAAAAGTCTCATGTTACATAATTCCTAATTAATTTACATAGACTAACATAGGTACAAACAAACGTTTTACATGGTGTCTTACTTACGGGTTTTTATATTGTGCACCAGGTTTTTCTCTTATGCATCGGAATTTTAGACTGCTGAATTTTTTTGGACTCTTTGACCAAATAAAAAAGAAGAAGATCGTGATCCTTTAATATTTGGTACATGTCGTAAACTAGAGCATGGTAGCATTTTCAATCACACATTCTTTGAGTAAAACATTGTAACATCCCACATCGTTCATGAGAGTGGATCCTGTAAGCCATATATATATATATATAAATATATATTATATTATCATCTCTACCTAGCATAAGCCATTTTGGGAGCTCACTGGCTTTAGGTTCTATCGGAACTCCGAAGTTAAGCGAGTTCGCGCGAGAGTGTGAGGACATGGTCGGGGCTCAAAGCGGATAATATCATGCTACGAAGCGGATAATATTATGCTACGACGGAGTTAAGCTCGAGATGTAATAAGGGCTAGACGAGGATGTGACAAACATATTCTAAGCTATTGTCCGCGTTTTACTTTTTGGTACCACTCTATTCCATTCATATTACAACAACTTCACAAGCCATGGACTAAACTCACCAATCAAACACTAAAAATAAAAAATTACTATTACTATTATTATCTTAGACAGAGAGAGATCAGGGACAACCAAACACGTACAAATGTGCATAGCATTATTATTTTTCGTTATTGTAGTAAAGCATCATTTGCAATTCAATTGGAGTTTTGATTCCTAACTTAAATTTGTAAATATTAGTTTTAAAACTTGTTGGAATATTAATCATTTTAGATAATTCCATTAGAAATTCAACCACTTGTTTACTATTGATCCCTCTTTTTATTACAAATGTAAATTTTAACAAAGTCATCCAGACGAGAACGATTGTTATATTTTCGAATATTTCCATTGACGTGGCCGGCGCTGGCGCTGAAAGAAACGAGATAATCAGGATCGCGAGGAGAGAGAGATTGTGTGCAGGCGACAAAACGCAGATGATGGTCGTTACCACTGAGCACTGACCAACCGGCACTTCCACTATGTATTATTCTACTGACGCACTGTCAAAAACGGATCTCCACCGTTCATCTCTACCTCAGACCCACTTCTGGCCCCACTAGAATTACCAATTCCTCACTGCCCACGACACCAGATCCCACGCGATCCAAAAACAAACCATAAAAAATTACGGAACTAAATTCCATCAATAAAAAATGGGTAAAGGACGATTAAATTTATAAATTAAATAACATGTAATCAATAAAAAATAATTATATTAATTTATATTCAGTAATAATTTAATTATCAATTTATATGTTAATTATTTTATAAAATTTAGTCTCGTAGTATTATTACAGTATCACCAGAAGGTAAAACGAAAAGTTTAGGTGAAAAGATTGCTCAAAACAAAAATAAAAAGCAAATAAAAACAAGAGTAAAAATATGAATTTCCAGAAAACAAAAACGAAAATTCCACTGCAAGTCTGCAACTGCAAGAAACCAAAAAGGCCACCGGCTTTCTTTTTCTCACTCCACTTTTTCTCACCCTTTCGTTTTCAACCTTTCCACCCTCAATTTCTACCCACATTTCCCTTTTTTTTTCTTAAATTTTTTCTTCAAAAACTAGTCTCTCCATTTTTTCTTCCATTTCTTCGTTGGCCGTAGTTGCTCTGTGATTCAATGTCGGAGCCGGACACTGAACCCGAATTCTACGCGGGCCGACCCAGGCCGTGGCGACCCAATGATCTTGTAAACGTGGGTGGAAGTAGCACGGGAAGGGCAGTGTATGGTGCCGTTCCGGGTGGCGTGGCTATGGGCCCTAATGCGAGCGAGCCGGTTCCGCCGGAGACGCTGGGGGGACTGGTGCGGGAGTTCTCGAAAGCGGCGGCGGAGATGGCGGTGGAGTTCGGGAAAGGGTGCAGGGATATAGTGCGGCAGAGCCTAGGGAATCGGGACTCGGTGTTGCGGAGGAGCTTGGGGACGGTGAGGGAGTCGTACTTGGGGAAGAGAGTGACGCGGCTTCGCGGGAAATTGCAGTTCGTGAACGAGTATCTGCCGGAGGATAAGGACCCGATTCACGCTTGGTCAGTGATCGTGTTGGTCTCGCTTCTTGCTTTTGCAGGTGCGTGAGTGTGTGTTGTGTTTGGTTGCTGAGAAAATGTGAGCGGAGAGAGAACGAGTTTTTTTTTTTTTTTTTTTTTTTTTTTTGCTGTCGTTTATCCGCTTTTTGGTTGCTGAGAAAATTCAGGACTAATAGATTCTTTTGTTGGATAAGTTATGCTTGTTATGAGTTTTGAATTTTTATTTAGTTTATATTTTTTTTAAGACATGAACCGGAAAATTTTCTGACTCTTGAGTTTTTGTTGAAATGTTATCTTGTGTTTGGTTGCTGAGAAAATGAAGGAAAACAGGACTTGAAATTTCATTTTGCAATGCTCTAATTTACTGCATGACCTATTTCCTTTCTCGACAACAAACTGAATATTCTGGAAATCCTGGAAATTTTCCGAGAAAATTTTCATAGAACATATTTGGTGTCATTTTCCAATTTCCAGTGTTGTATGTGAATACCGAAACTACTCCTTCTAGTCCTGCGCCAGAGATTAAGAAGATACACATTCATCCACCGAGCGCTGCCCGCGTAATGCTTCCAGATGGTAGATTCATGGCATACAAGGAGCAAGGTGTTCCAGCTGACAGAGCTAGATTTTCAATCATTGCTCCGCATTCTTTCCTATCATCTCGGCTTGCAGGTTGTACGTTTTGGATGTTGAAAACAAAAACATACTGCATCTGCTTTATCGTCCATGTTCTTTGTCGCATGAATGCATCTGCTTATTTTTGTGGCATTCTTCTGAAACTTAGGAATTCCTGGACTAAAGGTTTCCCTGTTAGAAGAGTTTGGCGTTCGCTTGTTGACGTATGATCTTCCTGGGTTCGGAGAGAGTGATCCTCATCCCGACAGAAACCTTGAATTTTCAGCAATGGATATGTTGCTCCTAGCCGATGCTGTTGGTGTCAACGACAAGTTTTGGGTTGTGGGATACTCGAGCGGAAGCATGCATGCTTGGGCAGCACTAAGATACATTCCTGATAGACTTGCAGGTATCAATGTCACTTCTATATGGTGTTCCTCGCAAGCTTTCCAAGTATTGCAAAGGTTTGCAAAATTATGGGCACAAATTTTAAGCTATCGGTGTTTTGATAATCCGTAGTGACCTTTAACTTGCAGGTGCAGCCATGTTTGCTCCAATGGTGAATCCGTACGATTCAATCATGAACAGGGAAGAGAGACGCAGGACCTGGGGGAAATGGACGCGAAGCAGAAAATTTTGGTACTTTTTGGCAAGGAGGTTTCCTAGATTTCTTTCTTTTTTCTATCACAGAAGCTTCTTGTCTGGAAAGCACGGACAAATCGATAAATGGCTGTCATTGTCAATGGGAAAGAGGGTGAGGATCATTATCAACATTTTGTTTACAGATTGAAATATTTACAAATCTTACAACTAAATTTCGATTATTACAACAAATGCATATGTTCCTCGTATAAGCTGGAGACTGATCCGGTCTTGGAGGTCTTCTCTTCTAACAATGCAGAAAGTGTTTCATGGTTGATCCCTCACTTGTCACGGTTTCCATGTCATTTGGCTCCCATTTGTTTGTGTTAAATGATTACCACAATGACTATTGTTTTACCTGTATGAGTTTTCATTTTGTTCTCCAGGATAAAGCTCTGATGGAGGACCCAATCTACGAAGAATTCTGGCAAAGGGATGTGGAAGAATCAATTAGGCAGAGAATCTCGAAACCCTTCGTGGAGGAAGCTGTTTTGCAAGTGTCAAATTGGGGTTTCAGCCTTGCAGACCTCAAATTGCAGAAGAAAGAACAAGGGAAAGGCGTGCTCAATTGGATTAAGTCCATGCTCAGCTCAGCTCAGGAAGAATACAGTGGCTTCCTTGGCCCAATACACATATGGCAGGTCAGAAGCATCTCCGTTGTTTACATGTTTGTTTGAGCCATCGATACTTTTACTGCTGAGATACTTGAAATCTTCTGATAGAAGACGAGGTACTATGTTGAGTAGACTTGTCGATAACAATGAGATCAGTCATTTGACAGGATTGTTCTAATTGAGTTGCTCTTCCTCATGCTAACATAAGAAAGGTTTGAATTACTACTTGTCCTAAGTTAGACGAGGGAAGATTCAGAAAGTAATGTATGGCTTAACATACTTGTAGACACATTTCTGGTGATAGTTGTTTCCTTGTAACCACAACGAATCTCTTGCCATACAATGGCTTCATTCAAACTATACAGAGCGTTTAGTATTTTCATCGGAGTATTAATTTTCTGTCAAATTTTGTATTAATCCAGACCATTCTCCTCCAATGTTTGACAGGGGATGGACGATAAGGTTGTCCCACCATCGATGACTGATTTCGTTCACCGGATTTTACCAGGAGCTGCGGTACATAAGCTTCCATACGAGGGCCATTTCACCTACATCTACTTTTGTGATGAATGCCATAGACATATATTCACTACACTCTTTGGAACACCACAAGGGCCGCTGAACTTCACAGCAGAAGTGGATGAAACACCTCTTGAAGGTGATACTGAAGAGCAGGAAGAAGAGGTAAAGCTTGGTGATTCTGTTCCGGCACTAGCCGAGGCATGATTGCTCTAGTTTACTTCAGAGAGGTACAATGTATATATCATAGGGTTACTACGTTACTCTCGTAGAGCGGAAAAAATAAAACAGAAAGGATAGAGAGAAAAGAAAGAAAAGTTAAAAGCATCGTGTTAATTCTCTTGCTCAGAGTTTTGGGATGTTATTAGGGGGTTTCCGGCGGAGTATGTCTTTGGGAGGAACTGTTGGTCAAGAACAAAAATATACAAAGAAATCATATCGTTCTGAATTTCAATCGGGTGCTCAAATTTTCGTTCATTCAGTGCCTCCAAATGATTGATTGTGTTCTTCTTCTATCATTTCTCCCGCCCGCTCTCACTTCTTGAGCTAACCCTAACCGCTCGGGTAATGCACGAATCCTATCGTTATTTCCTGATTAATATGTATGCTGCTTATGCCTCGTTGGCGGCTTTCAATGTGTTCGACGAAATCCCGCAGGGGAATTCTGTCACTTGGAATGTCATGATACATGGTTTGGCAAATGGGGGGAGCTTAAATTGGCTCGGTCGGAGCCTACTGTTGTGTCGTGTACTGCTATTATTGATGCGTACTCGAGCATGAATCAGCCCCAGGAGGGTGTCGCTTTGTTTCGGAAAATGGTTGTTGAAGATCTTATTGAACCTACTCGGATTACACTTCTAGTCTTCTTCTCCAACAGATTTCATCATCTTAAAAGAGTAACATAAAAGTTGCTCTACCACTTGATAAATTCAATTAATAACACATATCATAAGTCACTAGGCGATGCATGAATGAATGGCTACCTGAACTGGACTCGGCAATTTCATCATGCCAACAAAGTGGGATTCACTTTATCCTTGGACAATAAATTAATGACCAACTCCGTAGTTGATGCATCTGTAGAAAAACCCCTCTCCACCATTTCTTCAATAAGCCTCACAGCCGTTGAAGTCTCGTTGTTATTGATAAGCCCTCAGATAATTCTGTTGTACATGCAACCATATGCCCTCAGATAATTTTGTTGTACATGCAACCATATGAAGAACAACCTTTCTCTTCCATTTCCCTTAGCAAGTTTTCCGCTTCCCTTGTTAGCCTCCCTTTACATAATCCACGAATCATTATAGTATATGTCTTGACATTAGGCTGAATTCCTTTTAACGATAAACGATGAAAGAGATCCCATGCATATTCAACTTTTTCAGCTCTGCACAAACCTTAAATAAGAATAGTGCAAGTTACAATATCAAAATCCAACTTCTTTCCCTCCATCTCTTCCAACAATTCAATTGCCTTGGGAAATTGTTTCTTTTTACAAAGGTCATGCAATAAAATAGAATAAGTTTGAATGTTTGGAAGTTGACCACAAGCTTGCATTTGAGAGAACAAGTTATGTGCATCTTGGGTACTCCCCATCTTGTAAAGCCCATCTATAAGAGTGTTATAAGTAATAGTATATTCATAAATTAGAAGCAAATCTAGGGTTTGTAAAACCCTACTCATGTAGAAAAAAAAAGAAGGGAAAATTGGACATGGTGTGACACATCCACCGCACCACCACTGTGCACCACTGTCAGCAAGGTCGCTGGCCTGAAGCCCAGCTGACCATCACAGCAATCAGGCCTCGGCCTGGGGTCAATCTTGACAGGGCCTGAAGTGTTGAATATATCAGTCCACCTCATCATTCCAGCTCATCAATAGTTAGTTAGGCTGTTATCAAATTAGTTAGTTAAATAGCTTAGGTTGTAAGCTAGTCATGATGGCTATATAAACTGTATTCTCATAGTTGTAAAGATTAATTCAGTATCAATGTAATCAATTACTTTCTCTCTTTCTCTTCTTCCCTTCTCTCTCTTCTTCTTCGATACATGCTCTTTCTGCATTTCTGTGTCTTTCTACATTTCTGTTAATATGGTATCATCGCCATGGATGATCTTTTGACTTCCGCTGTAGTACCTCTGATGGGTAGCTGATCTTTGTGTAAGGTTGATGATGATGTTTTGCTGTTCTTGGGAGGCTTCGATACTTGTCTATGGAGTTTTCGTTGGTGATGAAGATCTGTGCGCTCCAGGTGTTTGATAATTTGTGTCAGCCAATTGCCGGAGTTTGCGAGGATTCTGGTATAGGTGTGTCATCGCTGGAGGTCGGTTCTTGGTGATTTGTTGCTTTTCCGTTGTGGGTGAACAAGTTTTTCTTCGTACAAGCTTGGATGTTCGAGTGCGTTTTCTGGGTTTCAAGATTCAAGTTCTCAGGTTTTGTTTCTGATTACTAGTTTTCTTTCCTGCATATCAACTATTGTGATAATGTCTCACTGAGAATTTTGTTGGGAATTTCGGAAGTGTCAAGGCCAATCGCCGTATACTTCAGATTTGTGAAGAGTTCAAGGTCGAATGTCATATTTGAGAATCTTTAAGGCCAATTGTCATTTCTCAGTTGCTATAAAATTGTTGATTGTATTTCCCTAAGGCCGATTGCCGGGATTTTATGTTGTCTAAAAGATTGTCTGTTAATTGGGTTCTCTGTGATTGTATGCTGTACTCCCTTAAGGCCAATTGCCGGAGTATAAAGCTGTCTGAAAGTTGTTTTCTGTTTGTTGGGATAGAGAGGCCGATAGCCATTTCCCTTTTATGTTTCACTTCAGAAAGGCCGATAGCCAGAAGTGTGTGTAGAACATTAACTGATTTAGAAGAATATGAAGGCCGATTGCCATTTCTTCTAAGAGAAAGATTGTTTAGTAGGATTTGAAGGTCGATTGCCATTGTTGAAAGATTGCTGAAAGATTGAATCTTTGATTCATTATTGGGTATTGTTTGATTGTTTGTTGGGTATTGTACACTCAAGAAGGCCGATTGCCAAGAGTGTCTTAGTTCAAGATTCTGCAAAGTTGTTCATATTCTATCTGCAAAAGTGATGTGTGATGATAATGGGATGAGCAACCTGTTTTAGTTTTGGCAAGTTTGAAAGGATGATAACTATATGTGGTTGTACCTTATCGCAAAGAAAACAGTAGCTACAGAGGTGTAGAAATCAGTTTGAGGGGCTGAAATTCTTTGGGAAGTTGATGGATGAGTATGAAATTGCATCGTTCTTAAGTAATTTTCAATGCTTGCAAGCCATGGAGGATTAATTGGTGAGGAGCAGCAGAGCTAGGAGTATATGGACAAGAAAGACTTCCTAAGTTCTACATTTCTCAAAGCACTCATTCAATCTCCAAATGGGAAACCCAGTTGAGATTGAGGGGGGATGTTGAATATATCAGTCCACCTCATCATTCCAGCTCATCAATAGTTAGTTAGGCTGTTATCAAATTAGTTAGTTAAATAGCTTAGGTTGTAAGCTAGTCATGATGGCTATATAAACTGTATTCTCATAGTTGTAAAGATTAATTCAGTATCAATGTAATCAATTACTTTCTCTCTTTCTCTTCTTCCCTTCTCTCTCTTCTTCTTCGATACATGCTCTTTCTGCATTTCTGTGTCTTTCTACATTTCTGTTAATATGAAGCCTACGCGCCACCAAACTATCTTGGCCTAACTACCAGCAAGCTTTTATGCTTGCTGGGCCTTTTGTTGCCCCAGCCTGCAGCCATCCAACCAGCCCAGTTGGCTGGGTCTTTTCCCCAGCCTAAAGATAAAGGCTCCAGCTTTAGCTGGGCTTCCCATGAGCTAGCCTACAAGCGAGCGTCTGTTGGGCCTGAACCCGTGCCACCACCATCGGCCTAACACACCAGCCTTTACGGCTGGGCTTACCCTCTGGACCCGTGACCTGCAACCCACTTCCGAGCTCTTTTGCTCACGACACCTAGCCCAATTTTGGGCTATGGTATTTTCGACCCAATGATATTATTTTAGTATTATTTTGCTTCTATAATCGACCCCGTATGGCCCCATTTATTGAATTAATTAAAAGTGACATGTAGTCCATTAATCTGATAATGAATCCAAAATTATTGACCTAAAGATAACTTTTGGACATTAACGATTCAATAATTTATTTTTATACTTTGAACCGTTGACACACTTTCGTAGTAACGAAGCTCTCACACTTGAGTTCCCGAAGAACCTCAAACCCATTATATTTTAATTAATATATTGCATTATGTGTTTATGGCAAGAACCTCTCATTATGAACTAATCGTTCATAAAACTAAGTTGAACTTGTAGTTTCAAATTTAGTGCCTTTGAAACTTGAAGTTTTCATTCAAAACATACCACATGAAACCTGTAGTTTTCATGCATAAATTAAACCAATACATGTCTATAGAACCTGTATGTTCTACGATATATGTCTATGGCTTACCATATGACTAATCACGTTTTTTCCCTCTGTTTTAGGGACATGTCGAACTTAAACAAGCTCAATTTCTCCGCTTTAGAAGTCTCTGGAAGAAACTATTTAAAGTGGGTTCAAGATGTGAAACTCCATCTAACTACAAAAGGGTATTAGAGCCACCATCGAGGCACCCGTCCCCGACAAACTTGTTGACAAAGCTCAGAAGGCTAATGAAATGATCTTCAGTCGAAGACACATCCATGATGCACTGCAGATCGAGTACCTCACTGAGGAGGACCCACGCACCTTCTGGCTTGCTCTGGCCGCTTGTTTCGATCGCCAGAAAGACATATACTTGCCTGAAGCAAGACACGACTGGCAGCATCTTCGCTTCCATGACGTTAAGTCATGAATGAATACAATTCTGAAGTTTGTAAAATCCGTTCACTGCTGAAATTTTGCAAAGTGGAACCAACCAAATCAAATCTCCTGGAGAAAACCTATTCGACCTTCCATGCCACCAATATTGTCCTGCAGTAACAATATAGGGCACATAAATTTACCAAGTTTTTGGATTTGATCTCTGTTTTACTTCTCGCTGAAAAACAGAACCATCTTTTGATGAAGAATCATCAAGCTCAACCCATTAGCTCAAACACCACGTTTGAAGCTTATGTGACTAATTCTAGCAGCCATAAACGACAAAAGAATCATCGTGGCTGTGGCAATAGGCAACAAGCCCCATCACGGGCCCAAGGTTTAGCCTGCTTCTCCTGAACTAGACATGTGCTACCGATGTGGATCAAGGGATCATTGGTCACACGTATGCCAAGCTTCCCCTGAGGCTATTGCCAAGTATCATTCCCGTCATGAGTCTAACTTTGCACATGTGGATCATCCGGAAGATGCTACTATATCAATGTAGATATTGAATTTTCAGGAGGCATCAACTCATATGGATGAATAAATTAGACATGTTTTAGGGTGTTTACCCCTAGTGGCCGAACCCACTAGG